GCTTTTCCATTATGACAAACCCGCTTCAAAGATGTAGTAGAGAGTATAACAACTGGAGGTTGAACTCCCTTTCCAAACCACAAATCTTTAACGCCACGGTACTCTAGTGAGACATATTTAATACTCCACTTTATCTCTGGATCCACTTTCACTAACCATAGCATCTCAAGAATGAAATTCACATAATGGATATCTATGAGATAAAAAGTTTCCACAAGTGTGGTTTTGCCAACCAACACTTTCAACCCCTCTACACAAGCAAGACAAAGATCTAATCTCCCTAGACTATGCTACACCTCCTCTTAAGGTTCCTTACCATCTAACCACCTCTGAGCTACCTCAAAAGCTCCATTGCACCGCTGCTCCACTGTGAGCCTTAGGGTAGGTTAAATTCCTTACCCTAACATGCCTTAATATACCCTTGAGTTTCCCTTTGACCAATGTTGACCACGTGGTCAAAGGTGGTGCTTAACATAATAGAGGCAGAGTTTTTTGTCTTTTCATTTGAAAAGAAAGGTACTCCATAGTCATTCATGAAGTTGATTATAAAGATATCAACTGGTTCCATGATTGGAGTGATCATTTGATACCAGGAAAAGACTCCAAGAAACCATGAAGCTTTAGACTCTATAAGGTGTTTTGATTGCACAAAAACTGGTTCCCCAGGTTTGGCACATTCAAATGATAGATTAAAGGGGATGAAGCTGCATAAGTTATTTACACAATTAAACTCACTTGAATGAGAAGGTTTCAAGGCTAAATGATGCGCTCTTATAAATCTCAATTGTCATTTCTTGGAGATCCTGGTGTCAGAACGAGGGTATCACAATTTCTAATGTAGACATGTGATCAAAAGTTACTCTATTTTTCCCAGTGGAGCTGGGATCCCAGCTACGTGCTAATACTTTTTCTTGCCAGATGGACAATACACGTTGGAGAAATTTTGAATGGAAAGAAATTGGATTCTGACTGCATTCTTTATAAGGCTCCTCTTTCTTGATGTTTAACAAATCTTTAACAGCAGGAAGTTAAGAGGTGGTGGACAGCACTCTGCCTCCCTTTCCTTCTGTGTGACTTGTTTATTTTTATTTTTATTTGTTTCGTTTTTCCTTTTTTCACTCTAGGCATCCAGTAAAATTGAATTTCTAGGCAACTGCTATTGAACAAACATTGATGGGCTCGCTTCTTCTTCATTTTTAGCGGTGGCCATAAATATGTCCATTTTTAAGACAAAAGAAGTACAATGAAGCATTTAAGAAGAAAAGAAATCAAAGAACAAGGAAGACGACGTTTGAGTTAACTTTGTGCTTTGGAGAGCTTGAAGCTTCTTACTTTGAGAATGGACTGGATTGGCTCCTCTCACTGAGAAGTACGGAGGAGGTAGCTCCTTGTGCGGGCTAGGAAAATTCTAAGTTACCGTGGTGACAGTTTTTGCTAGCACATACCGATTCTTGTGTCAAAGAGCTATCGCCCCAGCGTTGCAAGAAGAAAAGTGGATTATCACCTCATGTTCGCAGCATATACTGTTCAGCAAAAGAAAAATGGAAACGTACTTAGAACGTTCTGGCTAATGGTCCTGTGTAGAGGTTTAAAATGGGCGTAAGCACACCAGGTCAAAGCCCTCACCGTGCTCAGATCTCGATCACCCTTGCTCGTCGCACTGTTCCCAAGCCAATCCTCTCCCAGCCCTAGCTCCCCCTTTTCTTGCCCCTGCCGCTGCATCCCAAGAACTCCCATTGCCCGATCCTCTAACAAACCCATTCTTCCTGCCATGTCGGATTCACTTGTGCCCATGTCATCGTCCACATGTGCCGCTTCGCTTGGCTCATTGTTGACCGCTACAGCACGGTCTGTTTTGAATTAGTGGTTCGCACATCTTTATTGTGCGTTCCGGATTTGTTTTGACGGCTAAGATTATAAACAAACTCCTCCGTTCATACTATTCGATTTGCGGTTTCTGGTCGCGTGGCAACTCATCAATCTCTCAAGGCAAAAGAAGGCCTGAAAGTAAATGTACACAATTTTTACTGAAAAATGAAAGTCATGTTGAAAATGTATTGACCGTTGATTGGAGGAGCTCGAGGGAGACGCATCCGCTTGTATATGCCCTAATGTTAGGTTAATCTTCAATTTAGCAATGTCAATACTTCCTGTCGCGCTTTTGCTGTTATGGCATTCAGCCATTTTTGGTTCAGGAAAACATTTCACTGCTAACTCGCTTGCCGCAGCTCGAATCACTGATGCCGTTTTGTTTCTTAATGAACTCGACCCAAGTGTTCTGGATGAAGAATGCCGAGGGCAGCTCCAAACAATACAGGTTTGATACAAAAACAATCCAAACATCTTTTGCTTTCAGCTTGGCCTTCTTAGGTCAACCGAAGCCTTGCAAGCAGGCGAGAACAACGATGCAATCGGAGAGATAGGTGTGGCAGAAGCAAGCCTGGACACATGCCTTTTGACTATGAGAAAATTGAAATCTCCTGAAGCACGCAGGGCTCGCTCTAGCCTTCGAAAAGTTGGTCTAAGCGTCTCGACTGCTGATCAATTGATACAGATATCCAATGAAATTCACACTTTGAGACACCCTCCTGAAGCATCCCCGGTGCCTTTAAACACCCGACCGAAATTTGCAATAAGCCAAGACCCCCCACATCCAAGTATGTCAAAAATTCCTACAGCAGCGGATATTTTTAAAATACCACCAAAATCTGGATCTCCTCAAACTAATGAAAAGGTCGTTTCAACTATGCCGGTCTCATCAACGCCTTTCAAAACGGGCGTGGTAGAACAACACACTCCAAGCTTGTATTCGTCATCTAATAGCCCGAAGTTCACAACAGCAGACGATACAGATCCACCAACAGACTCAAGCCACATGAAGACAAGTTTGCAAAATGGCCCCCAGTTTTCAACCTCAGGTGATTACATCTCTAACAACTGACACTAAATTACACTTTCAATGTTGTCAGACTCGGTCTTTCGGCCCAATACTACTGTTCCAAATTCAGCCATATATCTTTCTGGGCTAACTCCAACGACTGCTTTACGACAGTCAGGGGAACCTTTGTCGTCAATTCTAGTTGACTTCTGCTCAAACCATGTAGACAGGAAAGGAAACAACGTTATCATGCATTTGGACAAAGCTTGTGGTATGTGGCTAATTTCACCTGATTTGGCCTCGCTGAGGACTTTAAAATGCAGGAGCAAAGTTTCATTCTGCAGACATGTTTACTTCAGGGGTGTTCTCTGCCTGGATACGAACTGCAGTAAAATCAGTTGGTGTTAGCAGCAGTTTTTATGTATACTGTGACTGGTGATTTATAGCGCTTATACTAATGCCTGAATACATGCAGATAACCTCTAATGACCACACACCAGATGCAATTAGCTTCGAATTTTATGGAAATCAACCAAAAAGGCTAACAACAAGCTATACAGTGCAAGGAATATCCGATAACAACAAACAGACTTTTGCAGTTTCTTTTGATACATCTCTTAAATTTCACAAGTACACCATCAAATGGGATACCGAAGGCATAATGTAAGGTATCTTCTTGTGTTTCTGTGAGTCATATTAAATATTAATGGCAGGTGGCTCGTGGATGACTTGCTATTTCGAGCAATTGCAAAGACAAGTGGCAAGCCTTATCCTGAAAAGCCAGGAGGTCTATACGGGCTGATTTGGGATGCCTCCCATGCTGGTTTAGCTGGCACAATCGATTGGCAGAACAGTCCTTTCACCATCTACTACACCGATATTCTTGTTTCGTCGCCTCTGCTTTCTGGAACATGGAGGTTACCACCTCAAACGACAATACCGTCTGAATCTATCCCTGCACCAATGCGTCCCCTCGTGATTGATTATTGTGGATCTAATGTGGAGGTCACAGACACTGATATTGAAATAAAACTCGACGTCCAGCCAAAATGCGGTTCGTGAATTTTTTGTTAGTTATCTTCTAAAATTTCTTCATGTTACTAGGTGGTAGAGTTCGATCTGTTTCTAGGTATCTTGAAGGAGCATTCACTGCCCGAGTAAAATGCTCTGCAGGCGACACGAGTGGTCTCGTCTCAAGCTTTTACGTATGTTTTATACAGCTTTAGTTGCTTCTATGTTTAAAAATTTTAGTATTTTGGCAGTTATCATCTCTTGAAGGAAATGACGATGCTGACGAGATTATCTTTGAATGGCTGGGCTTTAACAAGCATGTTGTTCAAACCAATTTTCGTGTGAACGGTCGTGCTGCTAACGACGAGGTCATCGATTTGAACTTTGATTGTTCACTGGGCTTCCACAAATACACAATTAGATACAGCAAACAACACATCCAGTTAAGGTTCTTTGTTTAAGCTGATCTTTGGTTAATCTTTCTCTATTCTTTTTGGCAGATGGGTTGTTGATGAACGTCTTTTGAGGACTGTAACCTTTTCACAGCAGTCATTGCTTGCAGGGACACCTTATCCTGTGAAACCCATGTATGTCTATTCGTCAGTGTGGAACGGCTCAGATGTGAACAATGGAAAGTGGGCTGGAACGTGGCATGGCACTGGTTTGCCTTATACAGTTCTATTCAGCGATATAACTATAACATCCTCAGAGTGATTGGAAATCTGTGCCAAAATAAGCATACCATCCAAGGTAGAATCCAATGAGAAACTATCTTTTTGCATTTTATTGCATCTTATTTCTCCTCCTCAATTGCCTTTATAATCACACCATTTCTGCAATAGCGAGCTTCTATATTACATTACAAGCCTCAGCACTTTTCTTGGTATAACCTTCTTCCCGTTTTCTTTTGCTTTATTGAACGTGAAGGCACCCGTTTTTCCCTGGTGTCCTTTTTGCGTGTTTTCGTCAAAACACTTTTATCACTGCTATGACAAGTTTTAGCTTTCCATTTGTACGTTTTTTTCTGCTAAAACTCTTGATGAGTTTGAAGATAACAAACCTTTAAATTAATTTTTCTCATTCTAGAATTGAATGTTAGCATCCTTCCATATTATCCGGATTTCTTTAAGTATGCTATTAAATCGGCCCTGTCTTGAGGTTTCTTTAATCCAGGAAAAACCATCTTGTTCCCTGGCATAAACTGCAATATTTTAAATTCAGAACCTTTATAATTTTCAAACAGCTTTTCTGACCTTCTTGGGATTCAAAAGATAGTCATATAACGTATCGTCCTTCCAGGTAACCTTCGCATTCCTGTTTGCCTGAGAGAAAGAAAAACCAGGAGCTGTCCCAGAAACTCGCCCAACAACTCCGTTGAGATTTGGGCCTACAAATTACGCAAAGTTAACTGCAGTGGTTTTCAGATGGGTACCTTGTTTGTGGCCACCCCCCTTCTCAATCGTGTGACAAGCAGAACATTTGGTCTTAAACAGCTTTTCTCCACTCGCTGCATTCCCGGCTGGGGCATCCTTAAAAGTTGCCATAACCTAAACCTAGTAAATACCTCCACGTGTACCCTCTTTATCCTCCAGCAGAGCGAGATCCGCAACGAGCTGATTTTACACCGATTCACAAGCAGCAGTGAGACCTACAAACCAAACATGGTAATAAGAGAGGTAAAGTTTAGTACTTACACAATTTACAACCCTAAAAAGTTCTCGGCAGCAACTATGGACGACTAGAGAGTGTGAGAAGCTTAGTAGAATAGAGAAACAAGAAACACTGCGCTTTGGACTGTTAAGAATCATGCAGATGGCGAACAACATGAAAAGTTGGAAGAGGCACTAGAGAGTTTGTTTATGTCGGTGAGAAGTGTTTTTTCAAGGAGCCGGCTGAATATGATGTAATATCCACTCAAGTAGTCTTCACTGTTTGCATATTTAAAAAGATTCTCCTGATAGAGCTGGAAACATGCTGGCACTTTAAAGTACGTGCATTACTGAAGTCTTGGTTCTAATTGAGATAATCGAGATAGTGAAACTAAAAAACGATTTGCAGATTGATAAGACCAGGGATTATGAAAAGTTCTGTCGCTCAAATATAAGCTTCTTTGTTTCCATTTCTGCGAAGTGCAAAGAGCTGATTCAATTTTTAAAAATTCAATTTGAGTCAGCTGAAAAAGGGGACAAGGAGACAACAAGAAGCAATGATGAGAAACTATACAATTTGAAAGGATGGCACGTTCCACTATTTATCAACCTTTTTTTCCATCTTCCCTCAAGCGTAGGATTGTGGAAAATCTCTAATCCTGTGCAATACTCGTTGACATTTTCGTGCTGAAAACGATGTCTTGCTGTAGGGGAACAGCTTGAAAAGCCTGACATAAACTTTAAACAGATGGTATCCTTAACACAACTCTATATTAAGGACAACCAGCTTAAATCCGTAAGCTAAGAAGGTAAGTCTTTATGATTGAAATCACCCATTTATTTTCTATCCTAGTCCTTTAGTATGAAAAACAATCTTCATCACCTTCCTACAGCACTCTAGAATTTGAAATATTGAGGGTTGCTTTTCCTTTTCAAGCTGAATCTTGTGTCACCTGCCAGATCTCGCGTATTCAATCCACTTTAATTTTGTAGATGGTATGCAGACGTTTGGTGTGTGCAAAGAGCAACATCTAGACACGCCAATTCTCACATGTTTGTAAATTTTTAGAAACTGCCGGATCAAATATCTTCAGAGCTCTCAGAAGTTTTAAGTGTATAAATGTTGCTGGAACCAAAGACGCAGCATTGGAAGGGGGCTACCTCACTCTCATAGTCATGAATTAACACCCTCGTTAGCTTTTCAGATGTATTAACAAAATTGCTGAGGAACTTTCAGTAAATTTTGAGGCTATCAGCGATTGAAACACTTTAGTGGCTACTTTGCTCTGCAATTAATGTGTCCTCTCATTAGAGCCCGATAGACGGGCTAAGGTTAGCAAAGAAATGGCAAAGTGGTTTCTGTCTAGGCCTTATTGTTATGTCAATGCTTTTGCCGCAGTGTTTTGTCCAAAACATAATGTTGATATAGATAAAGACAGGCGGACAATCATTATGAGCCTTGGAACTGCCTCTCACTGCTACCAACACTCTGGTGCCTCGCTGCTCCTTGGAGTTGGAGTTGGCAACCAGCCGAACAATCTCACCACTGACAACAGCGCACGTAGTTGGGGATGTGTTTGATCTCTTTTATTGCCTTAAGATTTTCTTGTTTTGGATAATGAAGAGTGTGGGGAAGAGGCTAGCTTCCTGTATGTGCCTAAGTGTCCTATGAAGAAGTGGCATATTTGTGCACACAAAAGAGGTTATTTAAACTTTGTTTATCTAAAACTTAAGCAGCAAGTTGTTGGAAGGAAACAGTATGTTCAAGGCGTGAAGATGAGTGACATTATAATATGCCCTCAATACGTTGCTTGAGAAGCAAGCAGAGCACAAGAGAGCAATTTTTCCCAATTGATCTTTCTCATTTCTTCCTTTCACTTCCTATTTTTTTCTTTCTTAAAGCTATTAACATGTTTCCATTTTGTAAGTGTCAATGTCTTGACCTTCAAAGTATTTATTTCAATGAGGGTGAGGAAGAGATCTCATTACAAAGAGGCCATAAAACCAAACTAACGGAATGGTTTGAACTAAACAAGACTGGGATGTTCCTGGAGAGAGAGTCGTTGACATTTCAGATGCCTACAAAGTAAGGTATCTATTCAGTGCCACGTGTTTGTTTTGCAAGCTCATTGATCCCAAAAAAACTATGGGATAAATTCAAGGAAGGCATATGTGAAGACCTAACACGAATTCACAACAACTATGAGACAGCAGTGCAACATGGATTGCATGAAATGTCAATATTACTCCAGGAATATGGCAAGAAACTTTCCGACTACAAATTACCAGACCCAGATTTTATAAGAGACAATTAAACAACAACCGAAACAAGCTGTGTATATTCTTTAAGAGGCTAGCCATAAAGAAAAAACAAAATTCGCCCTCCATGTGTCACCTATATCATCGTATTCCTCACAAACCCTAGCAATTCCAGCTGCAAGATGGTACCAAATTCAACTGAGAAATATGTATTTGGATGTCAATTCTAATCTAAAATACGAACTAAAACATTCTAATACTTCCTCTGGCGAGATTAACACCATCTCGGAAATTCAGCGAAGTTATACATCAGGTTAGATTTGGATTCTATGTTCCGTTTGTGAGGACAAACTGCTCGCCAAGAATATCTTGAGGCATTTGCCAAAGAGCTCCTGGGCTTCTTCAAGCCGGGATCTCTTTGAGTATTCCATATCAATCTTTTCGTCCCTCCAATAACCGATCAATAACCGACCTACGCATACATTATTGTCTAGTTTACAGCATTGTGCTGAGACGGGCATGCTCTGAATGAGCTCTCTAGCTTGTAGGTAGTCCTTCAATGCTTTCTCTCGATAAAGAGATTATCTCAAGACGAGGAGGACATGACTCATGCCCTCGAGTTGAGAGTGGCCATCATCGGCCTGGTGACGCTGTGGATTGTGATCGCTCTCGTTGCTGGTTTGTAAGAACCTCACCTGGATAAACTTCCGACTCGATCAATCACAGGCGAGATTCCATAATAAGTGACTCTCGTTTGCTGTTTGTGCTGGTCCTTCGGCACCTCACAAGCGGTAGCAGGAGAAGCTAAAGGAAGCAGGCCGAAGAAAAGAAAGTCACTCTTTCATTCTTGCAATGGAGAGACTAGACTCGACACTGAGTTGTGAGCAAAGCCTTGGGAGCAAAAGATTATGTTGAGGAGATGATCCAGAAGAAGCTTCTCAGCTTTCCACTATTGAATTTGACAGGTACTTATCTGCTCTCTGCTCTTTGATTGATTTTTCTGGTTGATGAATGCTTGCTAGCACTCACAAAGCGGCAGAAAGTGGATGATGATTCATACCAAGCTACTATCAAGATGAAAACGGAGGAGATGCTGGCAGTTCTGGAGTCTCTAAGGCTTGGTACGGATTGGAAGGTTGAGGATGAAAGCCAGGAGGATTGGTTTTCATGTCTGGCAGTCTGGCTGCCACATCATCAAAATTCCATGTATATTCTATAAAAAAGAATATACTTTTGATATACCTTGTAAAATATATATATACTAGCAAGGAATCCAGCTCCGCTGGAATAGATAGAACATCTGTTATATAGGTGACATGAATCCTAAAGAAATAGTTGTTTGTTTTCATCACCCAGTAGAGATGATGTATATTTATAATTCATATATATATATATATATATATATATATATATATATATATATATATATATATATATATATATATATATATATATAGATATATATATATTATTCTGGGATTAGACACCATGATCAATGCCTTTGTTCATTGTATCTCTCTCATTCATCATGACCCCATACCCAAGAATCAGTAGCATGGGTTTAACACCTAATTTGTTTTTTTAATTTCCGGTCACAAGTACATTGACAGCAAGAGAATGGGTAGTTATACCAGTGATCCAACAGAGATCATATTTTTGACACGCTCCAGTGGTTTTATTTTGAACATTTAATTTCCCAAAAATATGTGTTTGAGGATGCCTGAAATTAACAGTGATTTATGCCTGAAAGTAGCAGCAATTTTCTAAGAAAATTTGAGGATTCTAATCAATAAGTATAAGCTGTATGGTAAAATCTAAGTGAATTTGCAAGAAAAAGAAATGTAGTATCAAATGAAATGCTCCAAGGTTCCTCTAAGCCGACAGGCTAAATGTATAATTTTCGAGCTGGTTGATAAATTCTATAATCTTTTTGTGTGTGTTATTTGAATACTTACTTATTGTGACTCTTTTGCCATGAAGGGCACATAAATTGATGGCTTCAAAGAGTTGGACAAGGTAGTCCTCAGCAGCCTGTTGCTCTTTGATGGAACACTATGCATGCATGACAGTTGGAACCTGATGATTTTGATCCTTTTATGTCAAACTGGTCTTTTCTTTTTAAATACTAATAACACTTTTTCATAGACTAATATTACTTTTGTTCTATAAAGTCTAATCTACAACAATTCTTTCTTCATACATATGTCAAGCATATCTTCGGCATCATCGAATGGATTGTATTCGAATATTTCTTTAGCAAAGTCCGGACTAAATTGCAGCACAATGCCTTCAAGACGGATTGGCTTCCAGTTTTCCACCCCTCGCTTTGGATGGTACTCATTTTCAAGGTAAATTAGAAAAGAGAAACATAATTTCAGCTGGGATTTATATTATATTTAACATGGATGTTGTGGAAAATGCTAATCTTGAAGATTAAAAATGATTTTTAAAATTATTCTGATTTGTTGAGGAAGATTTGCGAAGCACAAAGGCAAAACATAAAGACTTTCAGAAGCAAGTTGTAAGAATCTCAAGAGAACTGAGTTTTACAACCAAACACGTTTTATCGGCCCTTTACTAAACCGGCCATAGTCTATTGTTTAGCAAGATTGGCCAAAGTTAATGTTATAAGCCTC